AGCCCTCTTGTAGTTTTGCGCGAAATTCAAAAACGAACAAACAAAACAAACCATATTGTCCTTTACTAGTGCGGTGTTAAAGACATCTGCTATCATTCACATCTACGTGCAGAGGCCATTCTTATTGTTCTGGTTTTCATGTGTTTATTCTTGTGACGTCTTTATTTAAAAAATATTAAATGACGTGTTCCAAATTATATAGAGAAGTTATTAAAAACGATTTTGATTAGATATCATGAATATTACTCCATTTCCTGTATAAAATTCCTGACGTATGCTTCATAGTTCAAAATAATCTTTTTGTTTCACAAGATATTCATGTATGTTCTATACAAAAAGGAAAAAAAATCACCTACTTATCGTAACATTCAAATATTAATATGGTTCTAAACATTGAGCTTTAGAGCAAACGCTTTAGTGAAGGATAGTAAGATAACTCATGTACCTTCAGAGAAATAAGAGCTTTATGACTTTCTTGGAGATATCCAAGCAATTTAATTCTTAAACACACTTATTGAGAAGTTTAATTTCATGAAGTCCCCAAGTGGATGGGCGGTAAGTTTACAGACTTACAACGCCGAAATACAGGACTTGATTCTCTGTGGTAGACAGAGCTTAGATAGTCACTTGCGTAGCTAAAGAACAAAACTTTTATCTCCTGGTGAGTGCGGTAAATTAATGGACTTATTAAAATGCTGAAATATGGGGTTCGATTCCCCGCAGTGGACAAAGCACAGATAGCCCATTGTGTAACTTTGTGCTAAAAACAAACAAGCAAACAAAATTTCCTCAATATATTAAATCAGGCAGCTTATGTAAAAGATTTCAAGTAATCCTTCCTTCGTGTAACTTTGTGTAACTCTTACACAGCCAAACTTGTGACACTTATTATAAAGAATAATCAACAAGCATTTATATTAATCTTAGAATAAACTCCATCGGCTCTTTAAATGCACTTTGCTGAACTATTTATGCACCAAATTGCTTGTGTCTATGACCTTGTTTGGTTACAGTGTCCTTGAGTATTTTTACAGGGAAAAATATGTAATGCACTGCAAAATGTTGACCCTCCCACTCCCGTCAGTAGTAAACAAGATAAATAACATTTAAAAACCTGCAAATAGGGATCGTAGAAAATGTAAGGAAACAAGGCTGGAGGTACTGTAGACATTATTTACAAATCCTTATTTTGGCTCCATCTTGTTTGTTGGTTTTTTTAATGCTCAATTATGGGCAAAGGATTACTTGACATGATAGCTAGTTGATACGGTTCATGATGATTTACTGTAGCTATTGACTGTTTGATCGCATTAGTTCGAGATGTAAAATGTTAAGCTGCAACTGGAGATTATCATGGAGATTTGTTTGAGAATATAATGTGCATTTTTGTTTCTATGAACTAAATTCTCTATATATAATGCATAACAATGGGCAAATATATGCTCAGACTAAGACACAACCCCCACTAAGTGACGAAAAAAAAATATAACCCGTAGGAAGGCAGCCTTTTCAAATAAACATATACGTCTAAAAGATCGATTTAAATAATAAACTTCCGTGTTAAGTAAAAAAACAACTTTACCCAGCGATAATTGGATGCTGC